TTTGCCAAAGAAAGTGCCGATGTTTTTGTTGTTGTTTTTTTTTTTAATGTAATTTTACCGTGTTTCTTGAAGGATCAGAAATATCAGAGTTACAAGGATCATCTGATCCGGTGTCCGATGGTGTTTCTTTCACAATCACCGAAAAAAAAAACGGTAAACTTTTGGCTGCCTAATTATACACAAAAAAAACAAAAAAAAAAAACAACTAAAATTGAATCTTAAAATAAGCCCCAAAAAAGCACCAAAAATTTTGAAAAATAAAAACCGAAAACGCGGAACCCTAAATATAACGAACCTGAAGTCTCCTGCGGTAATGTTCATGACCTTGTACAGTGATTTTGTATCACAAAGTTGTTGCCAGGTTAGCGGTTTTCCCTCTAGCTTTAGCTGTGTTGAGAGTAATCTGGTTGGTAATTATTAGTTTTTTTGTTTTGTTTTTCTTGCAGGCGCCAGGTTTTGGGGGGGCGGGGGGGATTTTTTGTCATTTTGCTAATTTCTGATGGTCTATTATGTTTCATTTTATTTTTTTAATTTCTTCATCGTGAATGGTTTAGTTTTTCTGTAAGATAGGAGCCGTAGGATAAAGTCAAATTTGCTTACTCGTGGCAAAATTTTAAAAAAAGGACCCCTGTTACTACTGATTCCAGGCGCGTTTCCATACCTGCCGACGTAATCCACATGATTTGCAGAAAGTTCTGTTTTGGAATAACGGCATATGGGAGTCGTCTGATGATACATGCGATTTTCAGTAAGCAAGTCACAAAGTTCTGGGCTCTATAGCCCCCTTTTTTTTTTCTGAAGTGGCTAATAGGACCCGAAACTTATAAGACATGACTACTGGAAGTACCAAGTACTGTCAGACGACCCAGATACCGCTACTGCTAAACAAATCTATGGGCAAAACATGCGGATAACATCGGGATCGCATGGCAGCACACCTAGAATCGGAAGTAACAGATCACTCGGATGTGTATTGCTCACAACATATCGTGATGAAGCAGGGGATATCTTCATTGACCAGATAAGGTCTAACAAAAAGACAGGGAATGTGCAGGCGAGCTGGTTATAGTTAATCATTATGTGTAACAGACGAGACTGCGGCGAGGAAAAGAGTAGACAGTGACACAGAGGGGAACGTCCCTAGAAGAAAAAGAAGCAGGAGGGGTTCTATGGGACATGGACGACCAAAAGCGTCGTTTTGGTCGGCATTCAAAGGTTGCCCAAACGTTCATTATGATGTCTTTATTTTGAATAGTACTACTTTCGCCCATGGAAATAAGAACAATGTGAAACTGTCAACTTTCATGGTGTTATCTTAAGAAAGCGATGACTCCAAGCTTCCATCGTGCTTTTTACACACAACATCGAAATTAGTTCCCAACTGATAATAGTAGCCGAGATTACAACTCGTGACGTCACAGCGAGGCAAATCCTGGCGGTGACGTCACGAACGGAAGCTATAAGAGGGGGCCACCGAAACATTTCGGAGCTAATAATCTGTTGAAGAAGAAAGAGCTTTCGTTTGATTGTTTTATTGATTTATAACGTTTATGGACTACTAAAATAATCAACTGCATGACAATGTTATTCTTGCCTTTTCTAAATTTAGCGGTTTTTTTATTGTTGAGTTTGCAAAACTGATCATAAAAATGTACTGTTATTGAAGAGCCAAAACTTGGCTGTGATGTTTGGATATGAAATATCACAGTATGTCTGTTGAGTGCGAGTCCCTCCTTAAAGAGACATGCATGAAATGACTTTTCATCTTCTTCCTCCTTCACTTTAATCACCAACTCAAAAGCGAAATCACGTGGTCGTAACGTGCTTGGGCACCAGAGGCGATGACTCCAAACTTCCACCGTGCTCTTTAAAGGGGCACTGACACCCCAAAGGTCGTATTTATTTTTATTGTCTAAAACGATGCAAGTTGCAGCCATAGACACGCAAAAGAAACCGCATCGCGAAAAAAAATTTTCCCGCGCGCACGCGCGCCTTTTTATTTTTGGCGTTTGATTTTCCCGCCTCTCGCCTCCTCGCTTCTTTTGATCGGTGACGTCAAAAATCAGGAAATTTAGAAGCTTTGTAGGCGGCATCTTTATAACATTTAATGACGGCAATCGTAAAACATGTTTTTTAACGCAATTGCGAACGCACTACGGCCCTTCTTTTTGAAATACCAAAAATCGGGAGTTCGTTGTGGTGCCGTCTCCTGGATTTGTATCCTCCAACGGAAAACAAGCGACACCGCTCAGAACCGGTCCGCCGCAACGCCGGCGCTAGCCGGCGCTCGCTCCTTTCCTCCTCGCTTTGGGTCGCCATGGCAACAGCAGGGAGTGGTGACAGGAAAGGGGACTCTCAGGTCTCCGCAATTTTTGACGTCAAGGCACCCGCGCCGATCACGCGGGAACTTCGAATTCGGCATTTGGAAATTGTTTTTTTACTTCACGAATACTGAATTCCCAAATTTCAAATTTTGAGGGTAATGTCCCGGCATCGTTTTCGACCGTTTCGGATAATAATAAAAAATATGATTTTGATGTGTCAGTGCCCCTTTAAGCACACCATAGAACGTGACACTCTCAAGTGATGATAAGTGCCGCCGGCACTCATTGGCCACAAACGCGACTTCAAATCTTCGTCGACGGATTGATTGTTGACCAGCGATAACGTCCGAGTGACGCACTGCTCGGGTCCAGTGCTTGAGCTGCGTTCGGGTGACGCGCTTGGGCACCGTGGATGCATCATAGTTAAAAGTAGGAGAGCTTTTGATGGAAAGGGGGTACGAAATAGTCTTCTTTTTTAAATTTTATACCGAAAAGAAGGTTTTAGGCTTTCTACGCTCGTGCAGTAGTTTTATTTGGCGCACTAAACTAAATGCGATTAGTAAAGTCCTAATTTATCCCAGCCGAAAATTCATTTCATTGGCCCTTTAACTTTTCTCTGCAGTGCTACTCCTATACTATGAAAAATTTAGTGGATCAAATAACTTTGGGTTCTGCCCAAATATATTGGCATCCTTGATTGACAAAGCAAACACATCGACGGAACTGTTTTTTAATACGAAAGCATTAACGTCCCATGGAGTGACCCGGCGTTATCTGAGTGTGGCTGTCGTTATCGTTGTCTGTAGCCGCGATAAGCGGCACTTAAATTCCCATTGGCTGCGCGAAATGGCGCCTAAATTCCATCTGTAGGAGCAAAAACGGCACCTAAATTCCCCCCCCCCCCCCCCCCACCCGAGCGAAACGGGACCTAAATTTCCATTGGCTGTGACACGTCGTGTGGCTCCATAGCAACGGCGTCATCGTTGCTAAGGGGTCAGCCGAACTGCTGGCGGCGCAGCGGGAGGGAAGGACGCCGATATGCGCTGGCCTGACGTTAGGCCTAACGTTAGAAGGTTATGACAAGTGAGGCCGGATCTTTAAGCAAATGCCAATTTTGTTCCTTTGGTGCCTATCGTGCCTCTTCTACATATGAGCACGAACCATGAGTTAAGAAGCGTTTTAAGAGTGGTTTTATAGTGCCTATAAATGCCTATTTCGGCGTTTGAGCCAAAAATGACCGTTTCCCACCTATAAATGCCTATTTTGACTTTTTTTTTTTTTTTTTGCTTCACTACCCCAACATGACTTGTTGAGTTTCAATTTCAAGCGAACTATTTTTCATCTTGCTGCGACGCATGGCAACAGGCTTCTCTAATCTATCCCGAGATCCACCACAAACATCGTTGTTTTTTTTTTTTTTTAAACGGAGCTGTTAAGGGCTAGTTTCCCGAGTATCGTGCCCGTGGATTAACAAATGTCGACACAAAGCTCCAGACAGCTACCGCCATCTATGAACGACGGCGGGAACGAGACAACCGGCTTGCTGATTGTCTGATTCCCGCCGTCACTCATAGATGGCGGCAAGCTTTGCAGCCTTTTCACTCTGGCTTTCACTAGAGTGCAACGTGGCTTAAAGCTGTAGAGTAAATGCGCCATGACACTTTCGAGGACACTCTCGAAAGTGACATGGCGCATTTGTGCTCCAATTTAACGTTTCTGGCGGACAGAATCAAGAGCCTCGAAAGTGCTGGCGAAACCCTGGCTCAAAACATCAGGCTCATTTCGAACGTTCAAGAACGAGTCGACGCCGTCGCCGCAGGCCCCGCTGCTGTACAATCTCGTTTAAAGCATCGGTCTGTCTTGAGCAAAAATAGTGGGGTTTCTCTAGTCAAAGAGGTCTCGAAGGCTCTTACCAGGGAACACTGCATTGTAACAGAGGGTGTGGAAGCACTGAATATTTCTAAGTACAAGGATGCCCCACTCACATCAGTTGACGTGGAACAATTTTTTTCAGCGTACAAACTGGTTCTAAGCGACAAGAGGCAGAAGTTTGAACCCAAGAATCTTGAAATGGTGCTTGTTTGCTACTGTTGTCATAATTTTCCCATTGTTTCTAGTTGGACTGTGTACAGTAGGGACAGCTTAGTACCGGTATGGGCTTGAGTCGACTTTTTTTTTTTTTCGAATGTTGGACAGACTAAATTGTAATTTCTATTGTACCATTTTATTCCGTATTTCTTTGAATGACAGAGGTCATAAATGCTTTCAAAAGCACTCTGTGAATAAAAACCGATTACGTCTATAAATGCTTATTACGAAGTTTTTAGTGCCTTTTATAGACGCCTAAAAGTGGCTTTTTTAGTGCCTAGATATCCGGCCACTAGTTATGACGTTACGCTTTGAGGTCTAACGTTGTCAACCGGTACCGCGCAGCTAAGGCGATGATGATGATGAGAGGACACATGATTTCAGCACGCGCCGCGCCGAGCTTCACACTCCCGCCGCTGTCTCACCCAGCGGCGAAGCAGTCACCAGCAAGCCAGGGATGCTTTGCACTCGCAACTCGTAAAAAGTGCTCAAATGTCCTCGGCTTTTTTTTTTTTTTTTTTTTTTTTTTTAACCCTTTGTGAGGCGCTACCAGTTTTTCAAAAATATTTGCCAAAGTTAATTGCTACTTTGTATCTAGTGCGAAAAAGAAACCGAATGACATTTTTTTCACATTTGAATGTTACATATTTATTGAAAAAAAAGTGGTACATATTTGTACCACTGACTTTTCATATAGTTCATGAAAGTGGTACATATTCGTACCACCATCTTTTTTGCTCAAGGTCAAGTGAATTAAAGGGCGCTAATAACCTTATTTCCCCTTGTGGAAAGGTCCGAAACAAGTTACGCACAATGGCACACGGCATTCTTGACACAAGTAGTATGTGCGGGCCTGTCGCGTCTTGCTGGAGCACCATCTGCACCGCCTCCTGCTCGCACAGCGTTGGGGGTGGTGTTGCTGGCCGACAAGCCTGATCTCTTCGGGGACACCAGTCATCTTACGACCACTCGGCTTCCCGTTCTTCTTGCCTTTGTGGCTGTTTCCTGACTGGTTTGATCTGAAAGTTGCTCCGTCGATCAATTGGCGGCCAAGGGAAAGGCGAAAATTGAGATACGTGGTCTCATCTCGGGAGCAGTACTGCAGAAAGGCGTTGACCACCGCAGCATCGAGTAAGTAATAGAAAATCCTATGCCACCATTTTTTGGAGCGGCGGTCAGCAACGTAGGTGTTACGTTTCTGATCAAATCGGTCAACACCACCCATCCATTTGTTGTAGTCCGCGATCACCTTCGGACAGCTAACGCCAACCTTCGCACCACTGGACAGCCTTCTGTTGACTTCGCAGGTCTCCTGTGGGTTGTGGAAATTGGACATCATGTTGACATTGCGGTTTTCCTTCCATTGGTAAGCAGACACTCTGCCCTTTGCGCTCCAGATGAAATCTCCTTTTTGCAGCTTGTTGTCAGTCTTCACCTCACTCGGAAGATCTTTGCGGTTGGTACGAAGCGTGCCAGCTGCGAGCACGCCTTGCTCCGAGAGCTTCTCCATGAGGGCTGTGGTAGTAAAGAAGTTGTCGAAGTACAGCTGCGTACCTTCTTCAACTCCCTCGGACAGTACAAGCACCACATGTTCACCAAGTCCTAGGTCAGGAGGTCGTCTTGAATCCTTCCCTTCATATATTTGAAACTGAACAAGATATCCAGTTTCAGAGTCTGCACGACACCACACCTTGTACCCTCTCTTGATTGGCTTGATGGGCATGTACTGTTTGAGAGCAGATCTTCCCTTGAATGCGATCATACTCTCATCCACAGATTGGTGCGTTGAGGGCCGGTAGTGCTCAGCGAATTGCTTGTTTAGAGCCGACACAAGAGGACGAACTTTGGCAATCTTGTCATGACCCTCCTCTCCCTTCTTTTTTTCTTTGTTTCGGTCATTGATGTGCAGACAGTTCAGGATGGCTTGGAACCGCTTGAACGTCATTACGCGAGATATCTCAGTGACATTGAAGAAAGGGTCACTACTCCAGTAGAGGTAGACGTGATGAGCTGGGTTGACGCTCATCAAGAAGAGCATCCCCAAGAAAGCTTTGAGCTCTTCTTTCGTGACTTCATACCACTCTCTTCTCATTTTTTGACTAGCATAGCGGTTTGTTTCTGCGACGATTATATCCAGAATGTCGTCCGTGAAGTACAGTTGAAACGCTTGTCTGGCGGTCGTCAGCTCTTCTTTGGAATACTCCGGGCCCCACGTCTTTGGATTTTCTACGAAGTCTGTTGGAAGATTTCGGCTCCACTCTTGACCAGGATCCTCGCTCTCCTCTTCCATGTGGAGATTATCGTCGTTTTCCAGGCGCTTGGAACGCTTCTTTTTTGGTGTCTTTCGCTGATACGAGGATCTCTTACGTTTCTTTTTTGTGCTGGTAGAAGGTTCCGTAGACATCTCTAAATATTCAAGCTCCTCAGCTTCGACTGGCGCTAAGTCAGGATCAAAGTCGTCATCGCTCGAGGTGTCCGCTTCTGCTTCGCTAGCACACGTGTCATCTGGCAGGCTGAAGAGGAGATCGACAGCTTCATCTTGTGTCAGGCTCCTACCTACACAAATATAATACAATCATATACTGGCTGTGCACAAGATCGTGGTGCGCATAAATACAAATCATACGAGTTAGAGTTGTGCGTAAATATACATCCCTACTTGAAACAGAAATAAAATTTGTATAACCTATAATGGCTTCTATTTTCTAATTTTAGCACAACAGGGAGTTTTAGGAGACCATTATTGCACTGTGATAATGACACCCCAGAAAAATGCATTGGTTGTTTACATGCCAAACCGACGAAAGGCATGCAGCACGCCCCCAGCAGAGAACTTGAAATTAAAATTCACTACCCGGAGGCATTCTAACGTAGAAGCGAAAATCTAGCTAGCGCTGCATCTTCTCCACAATACTCGGCTGCGCTGCGGGCGCTTCGCGGCAAGGATCCGTCGCTCAGTGCATTGTTTCGGAAACTCCAAGGCAACGACGAAACTTGGTGTATTGTTATCTTGAGGCAAAAACAATCCGCTAAAGCTTCACAATAAACGTTCGCCAAAACACGCGTTCCTATAAAGTTGCACATTGCTCCGTCGACCACCACCACCACCTGCACTGCACAGGAGACACGTTAGGCTTAGCATTTCGGAAGCCTCGTACAGCTGCACGCTGCATTTTCGAAGTTTCAGCGAATATCAAGCTGTTCGCAAGTTCAAATTTGTAGTGAATGAAAAGAGCAATGTTGAATGCAAAATCGAGTAAACAGAGAAGCTTACCTGTCATTGCGGAGCAGCACAATAGAGTGTCCAGTCAAGCAGAAATTTTCGCGCTAGCCGACAGAAGAAGCAACGAAAAGAAACACCTGCGATAAATCTGCCACCTGTCGAAAGCATCTAGAAATATTTTGAAAGCTTGCCACAACTTTCACGAGATGGCACCACCTTTGAAAGTGGTACAATATTGTACCATTGCCGCTACACGTGCGCCTGAAGACAGGTTCGCAAGTGGTACACATGTGTACCGCTGTCTCACAAAGGGTTAAGTGCCGGACTGGAAGCGCACGCTCTCTTTCTCTTCTTGCGGCCTTTGCAATCGCCACCTCCCGCCGCAATTCGCGGGGGCGCTGTCACCTCACCCCTGGTAGAGTAACTGTATAGGCTCTGCTTGCAGAGCCAGAGTATCGCGTTCCTTTTCCTTTCGCCGCCATCTCCGTATTGGCGGAGGAGTGGTCACGTGGGCAGAACTGGAGCCGACCTCCGTGCGGGAAAGCGGCCTTCCAGAGCGCCGAGTTTCGGGGGAACATATTTTCCGCTTTGAGTTCGCAAAATATAGATTCTAGACTAAACTCGAACGAACCGAAAGCTTCCTACGTCATTGAACATTATGTGCGTCAGCTGGGTACAATACAATCCTGTTTTTCATAACGCGAGCGATGTTTTAGAACATCCGTTTCCAAGGTATGGGAAGCAGACGACACGGACGACGATCGCGTTCACAGCGATCAGTGATCGCGTTGCTCGCGTCTCCGGCTCTCGCGGAGTGATACGCGATACGCGACCGGCGCATCTGGCCTTCTTGGCGAGTCGGCGAGCTCTCGTCCGAAAGCGAGGGGACGGCGTCTTCGTCAGCCGTTGCGTCGTTTACCGCAATGAATTGACGACTTCACTTCACTCGCGACCAGCAGGATCCACGGGTGCGATTTTTGCAATCGAGGGGGAAATAGGAAACGACGGGAGAACGATGACGGCGCATGCGCGGCTCGTCGCCGCACGCCGCACTATTTTCCTTCCGCAACGCGCCGCAGCACGCCACAGCACGCTGCCTCGCGTCTGCGCCTTCGCGTCCCCTGCAAAAACCGACCGTGGCTTCCCGCAGTGCTTGGCTCCAGAATGGCACCATTGCGGTACTCTGCTCAGCAAGCGGAGCATATACAGTTACTCTAACCCCTGGTAGAGTTCCAACTCATGTTTACAAACAAACCGGAGCGCCCGGAGCGCCCCTAGCGGACGCCACGGGCGCCGCGCATGCGCGATGGGGGTGTGGGCAAAAAGCTCGCCGTCGCCCATAAACAAACCCTTGAAATGCGATGTTGTCGGCGTCGGTATGAGTCCCCCTGCCCTGTTTCGCGTTCGAATTGTTGGTTCTACGTCTTCCTGGCGATGTCTGACTACTTGACCGGCGTCAGCGAAATTACCGAGGCTCGTTACACCGCAAAACTTCGCGAGAATAATGTGACATGTAGAGATTCATTCCGCGTGGACGCCGCAGATTGTACGCTAAAGCCTGATTCGCATGATGAGATTTCGCTCGGATCAGTCGCGACGCCGCTCGGGCTGCAAAAGCGTGAACCGTAGCTGAGATGGTCGACGACGATACTGAAAATCGCAAGCAGAATCGGACCAACTGAATTAGGCATAACAAGTCGGTGTTGGTCTCTGGTAACAATGACCAACATCTCCTTGTATCTACTGTTTACATCGAGCCTGCTTACCAACCTTCAAATGTAAGTCTTTTGAGGCCTGCACTCACTTCTTATCGTAAGTACTGGGCCAACATTTGGTCTACAGACCGGCGTCACCTAAGAGAGCAGACGACAAGCAGAAACGTTTGAAAGAGCAGACGACAATTCGAACAATCAGGCGGCCGTTTGAACTCGAAGACGCACTGAACGTAGTCCACAGGTGGTCCGCACAACTTGACAGTTTTCTGGCGTTCATGTTGGAACAAAACAAATAAATCTGATGACCACAAGTATCCGTGAATTCAACCCAAAGTGCTTTCCGTCCAAGCAGTCGTTGTCCGACGGCGTCTGCTTTTCCCTTTTCATGGCACATATCCAGATTCTCGGACGAACTGAGCACGGGAAAACTGACCTTCAAACCTTTCTCGACACTTTTGGTACGGCCCCAGTCGCGGCGTTTTGACGAGAAGGCAGATTTTTGTCTAGTTCCTTTCAAAACAACGCAGGAATACACGTCTGGCATGGGGACTTGTGCCCACAGCCCCAGACCGGAAGTGCGACCGACGCGCCACCACCGCGCCGTGACGTCACAGAGATGAGTTCGTGTATAGGCTCCCTACGGGAGCTAGAGTTGCGCATTTGTTTTCCCCGCGCCGCTACGCCGCTATTCGCCGAGGTCCATCACGTGAGGAGCAAAGCATCCGGTGGCGTGCAAGGAAGCCACCTTTACGGTCGCTCCGCCGACGTTTCTCTTGCGAGAAAAGAGTCAAAGTACAGGCTAGCTGGTGGAAGTCAACCATTTCGTCGTTTACCCTGAGACTGGGGGGTTTTTTGAAGAGCAGAAGAAACATCATCATTTCATAGGCCGCGCGGCTCTAGACGAGGGTGTAGTAGTCTGTACAATTTTCGCACAGTGCATATTACAGCCTAAAGTGCTTCCTCGAGGGCTTGTGCACATGTCCAGCTGGTTTTTCGTTTCTGTCCATGACCGTCTTTGCATGGTTAATCAGAAGTATCCTGAGGAACCGTCGCCAAAACAACAACCTACGAAGCTCAAACACCAGCGCAAAGCAGCTCGAAGGGACTCTCCGAGTGGGGTGAAGTGGGGTGAGGTGGTTGCGCCCCTGTCGGCAAGCAAGTGAACTACATACGGACAAAAAATGCCATTGACTCCCGGGCGATTGCAAAGGACGTAAGAAGAGAAAGAGTGCGCGCTTCCAGTCAGGCCGCAATGTATGATGCAGTTAATGTTGTTACCTTTCTTTATAGGACCATACATTTCTGTGTTGTATCAACATCTTTTTTTTTTTTTTTTTTTTTTTTTTTAGAATGCAAACGCAAACAGCCTTGTGGAGCAGTTCAGCAGCACACGACTCTGTGTATGTTGCTTTTATCGTTACAGCGCTCTCTAACAATGAAAAATATTAAGTGTCATGTTTAGCTGAAGTGCTCTCCAAGGCTGTGTGTACTGCATTTGCTTTCGAAAAAAGTTTCCACAACAGAGAAATGTAGCGCCCTACAAAGAAGGGATACAACATAGCTTCATGAGGCGTAACACCACCTATTAAAAGGTGGGACTTATAGACATTGGATAAATTGCCGATTACACCTGTTTAGGTGTTTTGAAGTTTACTGTGTGGCGTCCGGGAACGGGTGGCATTTTCTCATTGAAATTTTTCTAAAAATCGCTTGGAACTTTTGAATGAGATGAGAGTTAAGATCTTGTTAAACATATACAATAGCGCAAAAAAGACAAGGACAATAGTATACAGGACAAGCGCTTGTCCTGTATACTTCTTCTTATCCTTGTCTTTTTTGCGCTATTTTATATGTTTAACTAAGATGAACCAACTAGCCCAACAACGTGCCCTACTAAGTTAAGTTCTTAAACTTTTGCACCTTGTCCCCACCGCCAGCACTACATTTGGGAGGAAACAAGCGCTCGGTAATGTGTGTAGTGTATATTTCCAGTGAAAAAAAAAGCATGGCTTTCTTTCCTCCCAAACCTCCGGTATTTTAACCAACATAAAAGTAGTAAAAAAAAAAAAAAACTAGTGCGCTGTTTGTAGATAATGAAACTTGCTCTCGGTGCCGAACCAGCAGCCGCTGCCAACCACCTGCCTCTCTCGTTCGTTTAAGCTCGCCTCGTGGCACTATGCACCAGAAACCGCGTTTTTCTACGGAAAATATATAGCTGCATCTTTTTTTTGCCGAACATTCGGGTGCAAGACTCGCTGTACAGGATCGTAACCAGGCACTTTTTGCAGTTTGTTGAACTTCCTTGTCTCTTCGAACTCAGCCATGGACACAAGCAGAAACTGCGAAGCACCAAAAAACTCCACGAGAACGAGAAGCAGCTCGAAAAACAACTTCAGAAACCTCGAAAAGAAAACTGCCTCTTCCCGTCACACTTTGTGACAATCAAGTTGAAGAGATACGTCCGAAGTTGCCACTGTGCTACCATAGCCATAGCCAGTGTTCTTAACTTTAGCAGCTCATCTTTCTGCTGCCAAAAATGGAAGCTGAAGCTTTTTAATAATACTATATCTCATTCAAGCTGCGTCATGCTTTTTTTTTTCTTGATCCCTAAATACTATTACCAGTAATAACCGGGTGTCTATGCAGCCAGGTGAACAGAACTTCTCCAGCCTCCAGGAAACACCTCAGAGATCGCCAGGGAAAGGATAACAAAGTATTGGCTACAAAACATATTATTTTGTAGCATTCCCATACATGAGCGGGCATGTACCGGAACTTAGACGGATATTTCGTGTTATCTACCATTCAAGCGGCCGCGATAGAAGCATCAGGACGTTTCACTCGCTTGTCGGCGATCACATGGTTGACCAGCCCACTCTCCCTTTCCTTGCTCCTCATAACTACTGCAATTGGATTGTTCTGTGGCACTCTATTAAGTTTATTACTCTAAATGAATCCAGAAAGTTAGTTCGAGTCTTCAATATTTCTGAAAAAAGTGGAACTGTATTTTCTTATTATCACTAGAAATATTTCTAAAGGTTGAAAAATTTTAACTAAAATTTAAAAAAAAAAGCTTTATATTTTTCTAGATACTCCAGCGGTTTATCACCGATTATCAAGAACAATTTAGTATTTTTTTTTTATATTTCCTTAATGGCTGATTCACACGAAGGGCCGAATAGCGACTTTCGACCGCAGACCGTGTACCACATGGCCGTCACGTCACCAATCCCTGCCATCCGCGCCTCGTCCTTGGATGCGCGGACCACTGATTTCTATTCTAGGGAGCTGGATGGCGCATAGCCGCTCTCCGATATGAGCGCAAGTGAAGCCACCGGAAGTTTGATGCTTGTCCCGGAAGTCGGACGTCTGCTGGGCTTCCAAGTGCACTCAGTCGATGTTTCGGTACGTAATTTCCAGTGTCTTTGAGTGGGTTTTAATAACCATGCTCCGAATTAAGTCCCGAAAATGAGGCATTTGAACTTGGGACATATGCACACTCGATCGACTAGAATGTTTACATTGTATGGTTTCCCATGATACTTTTCGGGTCTGCATGCGCTCTTACTGCGCAACAAGCAGGCTCTCTCGAGGTGACAAGTGAAAAGCCAGCGCCCTCGACGCTTTTCGAACCAGCACTCAGGAGGGTTACAAAGCCTGCCAAGCGCTTACTTCCGGTGACTTCATTCCAGCGCGCTCGACGCGTCATCTAGGCCCCTAGAGTAGAGATCAGTGGTGCGACTAAAATGACCGATCGCCTTTTCACTCGCGGATTTTTTTTTTTTTTTTTTTTTTTTTTTTTACGCATTTTGAAACGCGTTCAAAATGGCATCGGTACGATTTTTTTTTTTTTTTTTTTACGAGCAAAACAAGGATGACACGTCATTTTGTTTGCGCTTTCGCTGATTCATGTTACCGCGCGATTCTCGGTTCCACGCGTGAAAGGAGCTGCAGAAACTTTGCCCGGCTGACGCGACGCGGGTTCGAATCTTCCAATGCGCCGAGAAACTGGGGGAGAGAAGGAGACGGGAGCGCTTAGAGACGTCAGAACGCCGAGCTCTGGTAGGAATGATTAGCGGGTAGGCCTAGCTGCCTTTGTCCCCACTGCACTCGTCGAACGCGTTCGCATGCGAGAGCCAAACGTCTCACGCCGGCGTTGCGCGTTCTAGAGGGTTCGCAGAGTGCAGTGGGGACAAAGGCGACTAGCTTTATGTCTACCCACTAATCGGTCCAATCAGAGCTCGGCGTTCTGATGTCTCCTCGCGCTCTCGTCTCCTCCTCTCCCTCAGTTTCTCGGAGCACACTCCTCCGGATTCGTGCCAAGTGGCTTCTGTCAAAACTCATCTATCACGCCGCCATCTTCATATAACGCCCAATCAGCCTTTAACCTGTCGTATAAAGAAGAGCATGCGTGGGGACGCGCGTGTACAAAGGAGAAAAAAAAATACGTGGATTGTACGAGCGATATAAGGACAGTGCATGTTCTATACTCCGTTCACCCTTAACCAGCAGTGAAGCTCCGCCTTCAGCGCGAGCTCGCTGCCTACCGCAGTGCTTTGGTTGCGCTTGGCTGTGCGTTCACACTTGTGTTAACAAGGGCAGAAAGCTAGCGCCGAAGGCGGAGCATTTATACCCCTGTCAGACGGGCTAGTTTAGTGACACTACAAGCGAGTGCACTTCAACCCGTCGAAACACACTCCAAGTGTGTTGGTGCTACACGGGAAAACTTAGTGTCACTCCAAAATGATGGCAATAACGATGGGTAAGTAATGGGCACGCAACATAATACAGTGCATACGCATTTTTTTCATAAATAACTTCGTCGTCTTATTAGAAACACGTTACCGCAGATTGTTGCGCTAAGTCACGAGTTTTAATCCATATTTAAATCCAATTTCATCATTACGATCAGCCATTACAAGCCAGTGATACACGTCCGCACGCCGGTACGATACTCTGTTTCACCTTATAATGTATCGCAGAAAAGGCTACAAGCGCGAGCTCCTTGCTCTAGGGCATATCAAGGCTGCGCAAGCTCTCGTGCGTTAAGAGTAGCTCCCAACGCTATGAGCTCGCGCATCTAGCCTTGTCTGCGGTACAACATAAGGTGAAACGGAGTACAGTTCGAAACGAGCAGAAGTAGGGATTGAACCCAGGATTCCTGGGTTCTGCAGCGCGAGCTTTCGTTCCGCGTGCTCCGAGCTGGTGTGCGCGAGCCCACTCGGCCACTCGCCACTCGCCACAATGAAACATCACGGAGTGTGTGGACGACGAGCTGGAGGGCAATATCCGCGATGTTGGACAGTGGAAGCGCATGTTTGGGGCACTTTTCTCCGTGAGAGCCCAACGCCTTTCAGATAAGAGGCAGCTGGACCTGGATGCCCACGCACAGACAAGAATTTCAAGTGACATCGATCAGCAGCTGCAGGCCAATGCCTTCACCATAGCCACTCTCATGACCGACAACCTACCCGTGATCAGTCGACAACGGTGGACTTCGAAGACACCTCGCCCCATTTGGGCGAGTTCTACTTCAAGCAAGCGTTTCGCGTCTCTCCTGCCACCTTCAGATTCCTGGTGGAGTCGTGCAGGTGCCTCCTGACCTTCGTCGGCCGTCGTGCAGGGGCCAAGGCTGGAAACTAGATTAGCCGCTTGTTTTTCTACAACGCACTACTTTCCTGCCAACAGGAAACAAGTGCGCGTCTAATATTAGTCCTATCAAAATAATACTAATTTTACGCAGCGTTAATTTCTTCTATTATTTTAACTCCTTGAACACTGCTATCGAGATTACACACTTGGTCTACCGGAGCGAGCGTAGTGTGCTCCCCGAACTCACTTCATTGGAAGTGTGTTCTTCGGGCAGGGCTGGGGATTGAGCTCAGGATCACTGGGTTCTCCTTCTCCAGCGCGAGCTTCCTCTCCACGTACTCCGATCAGGTGGGCGCTAGCCCACTCGGCTTCGATACCCCTTAATAAAGACACGTTAAAAAAATTGACGTTTACAATTCTCTGAAATGCCGAATTGGAGTGAAGCTCTTGAGGAGGAGGGAGGAAGGGTACGAAGGGGAGGGTATGCCAGCTGCTCCCCCTCCGTACCCTCCCATCCTCCTCTCCTGTTCCCATCCCACTTAGCGTAAAAATTTCGCTAAATTTAGTCGGGAAATTTTCCCGCTGAATTGACGTGTGACGTCACATGACACGTCATCTGAAATTTTAAATGTGACGTCACGTGACGTCACACGGGTAAAATGTTTCCTTTAAATTTAGCGGAAAAATTTTCCGCCAAACTTAGCAAAAACTTTTACCGCAAATTTTAGCGGGAAAATTTTACCCTCGTGACGGCACACGTGACGACACGCGTGACGTCACGTGTGACGTCTTTTTGGGAAACAGCCCTTAATGCAACGCGCGGTTACGCCGACGCCGCTCAACCCAGAAATGGGTGCCTAGGAGCTGTGCATTAAAACAACGTTACATTAATGAACGATTTTTATGCAAATTGAATGATTCTGATCGATCATCGCAAGCCAAGATAAAGAACGAAGCATATCCAACTTTGGCGTTCCGCTTCGTTCCACGGAAGTCTACGAGGAGGCCCTGACACTGCCTAATCAGATCATAATTATAGTGTGGTCTCGAATAGTTACATGCTGAAACAAAAGTAGGCTCTATCATTCGCTGCGAACCAAGATAGCCATGAATGACTGACTTTGTCGTCGTCTTTTATGAATTCAGCGATCCGCTAATCTTGATTCAGATCAGCCTAAACTCCAAGTCCACCCCACTTTTTTTTTTTTTTTTGAAATGCCACTTTTTTACAGTCGTCGCTTTCTCGAATTTTTTTTTTTTTCTCTATAAAATAAAACTTATGCCACGCTTTTGGTTTCTGTGTTATGTTTTACTGTTGAAACACTCCTACTGATTCCACGCGCTCGGTCGAGCGAAGTGAGTTCGTCAAACTCACTCCAAGCCAAGTGTGTTCCTCAGGAAGGAGCCGTGTGGCACACTACAGAAATGACACTAAGGGCGAAGTGCACTCGCTTGTAGTGACACTAAACTAGCCCGTCTGACAGGGGTATTAGTCTCAGCTTAAAGGTGCTGTGGTGTCGGAACAGGGGAAAGGCAGGGAGGGGGGGGGGGGGGGGCGACCGCTCCACTCCCCCCTCCCCCATTTAGTTGAGAAATTTAATGGAAGCGATAGAGGGGAGGGGGCACAAAATCGCCGTCAAGTTCACTCGACACAATGGAAGCTACTCTCAGTATGTACCAAAAGTCTTACTGGAGCACTTTAGGAGCATAGAACCCCGACAGGCGGGAGGAATGTGCTTCTGCCTCAACAACTTTAATCATATATAAAAAATAAAAATAAACAGAAGTTGCTAGTTTGCAGCTCATACCCTCTTTCTTCGTAGGCATATCCGTCAAATATATTTCTTTACAAAATGAAAAGGTCACTCCCAAGCCAAACCTTCAATCGGGACAAAAATATCCACATACGTGTACTTACAGCAGTAATTTCCAGACCTTTGAGGAGAAACCCCTTGACAATCATCCGATACTTGATGTCAGAATTGCCCCTCCTTTAAACGCAAGCAAAGCACCAAGAGTATTAGTCGTGCGTGGAAATTACGCTGTAAAGGGAAAGAGGCGGACAGAGGGAGAGATGTTAAAGGGATTCGTTCAAATAGCTGACAAAAAATTATTACTTCTATGCATGCCACAAGTCACAGTTAAAATAACGAAAAACCAGTCTTCTAGAAGTAATTTATTACCTCAGCATTACATCACCTCATAAAAGATTTTAATACCCTGTATGCAAAAATGCTTTGTATATAAAATGGAATTAAATAAATACACAAAACAGTGTAAATACGTGATTGCCGTATTTCCAAATCCGGTTGATTGGCTTCACTGAATTCTCGATCATGATCACTGCTTTTTAACGTATTCTATTACAGGTGCACATTTCTGCGCACGTCCGAATACCCACGATACCCTTCCGGAAGCGAGCACCCCTCAGCGACGATTGTACCTTGGCTCCGAGTCGGTGCCTCTTACATGTTTTGATTTTAACAGCTTTGCGTTTTTGAGTGACTGCATATTCCTTTTCCAAAATATAATGCACATGTCCACACGTCCCGCAGAGACTAATGCACGCACAACCCACGGGAAGTGATTGTACTCTCTCTGCCTTTTGCACCAAGTCAAAAAGTGCACATCAGACATGAACAAGGAACTCTGAATAGTGCGGTGACAATGACAATAAAATCTGTACATTTATGCTACTACAAAAACAAAATCTAAGATGTGCAGAAAATAACAAAACCAACTGAGATACATTTAGACGTTTTGTGTGAACAGCGTCTTCTGTAGTACACACAGGCAAACGAAACTGGTTGCAACAACGAATTTTCAAAAAATAACCGGACATCCAGAATCGAAATAACACGTCCATAGAGAAGAAAGAACAGTCACAGAAACATTTGCAGACGTACTGATTTTGTACATAGGAACTAACTGCTGTGCCTCACAGCATACATTCCAAGATTGATATCATCCACGAGTTTCTAACAGGAGTAATGTTCCAATATATGCTCACATGTCTTTAAGTACCATTGGTGGTAACAAGTGCTTTCACAAACAAATCGGTATATTTTTGTATCGGACGTTAGAAGGGTTTCCGAATCCCACCAGATTCCGACAGGGGACATTTGGCGTAGTCCAGGCCATTTTAAATTGGCCAGTACGAAGGAGCAGAATACACAAGTCCTTGAGTTGTACATGACTGTTAACTGCTTCAGGAATTTCGTTGCACAACTTCAGAGGCCGAAATGTAAAGCTTTCAGCTAGGTCTCATGCAGGCAAGTGGCTTAAAAAGCTTAACCATAAAAATCCTTCAAGGAAGTGGTGCTCTTGAATTTTTGTTTTTCCATTTGACTTTGTGCCTAAAATAATTAAGATTCGTTAGACCAGTCTTGGTTCATAAGCCTCTACAAAGCTGACAACATTCCCATTTTTCTCGCTGCTCAGTCAACAGTGTTCTGGAAATGAAAACTTAAGGCAGAGTGCTGGATATTCAGCGTTTTCGTACTTGACAATTTAAAATGGTGTTCAGCAAGGCAAATGCCTTGTAGAACCTTTTCTCAACAGTGCACAAAACAGATAGAAAATGAGGACCTGTTGTCACAGTGATACATGGTAGGTCAAGAGCACTGCTAGTGGACCTTTGCTTGTAGGAATTATCAACCATGCAAATGTAACAATAGCAAATGCCTCCCAATTCACTGGAAAAAAGCTATCATAAATATATTAAATAAAAATCGTAACACGACTAGCTACACCACTGGTGTCGTTGTTGTCTCTGTGGAGTTTACAAAGTGTATTTTCCACTTTGGAATGATGGCAGGAAACACTAGCTCTAAACATAACCCAACGCCGAGATACAACCTAGTCACTTGTTTTCCCTCCCAGGACGTTAAAACTTGCAGGGCCTAGTTTTAACACACACCCAATCCACTTTGGTGTTGGTGCAAAAGGATGGCTGCAAAATTTGCAAGCTTAAATAAAGAAGAGAGTGAATAACTTCTGGAAAAATATATTAGGCTTTGATGAAACTTTTTAAGTGCAAGTGGTGGTACATATTTATGTAGCCTACCAGAGCAAGCAAACAAGCTCAAACTTAATAAATATGACATCCCCTAATAAAATAAGACTAGGTCTGCAAAACACAATCCTCAAGCTAGCTGGACTTTCTGAACACAAGTGCACACACAGTTGCCCGAGAGGCGGCATTCTCCAACCAAAGAGAAAGCCAATCGCTTTTAAATAAACTCTCCAATGATCTCTCGAACCACAGCCCTTGAATGGCCTGCTTGGAAATTCGACTGTGCCTTGCTTGAATGTAATGTTTAGTAGCTACAAGTATACTTGGTAGCTTTAACAAAAAAATAATGATATGCACATTTTAAAGCCAGTGGTGATGCGCAAGCAGATAGTCAATTTGCTATGCACACTTTAACATTGAAAAATAACCACAAACAAGCACTATCGGTGGAATGCAATTTGCATGTACAGCCACAGCACACTAAACTTGTACTTGTAGCAATTAGCCAAGCATAAAGGCAGAACATTATACACCATGGAAAACAGAATGGTTGAAATGTGCAGAGGAACCCAAATGACTGTGAGTACTGCACTGCCAGAGAAGGCTGTCCTCCCTGATGAACTAGTGAAGAATCTAAAATAAGCAAAACTAAAAAGCCATTTCGCACCTAAATGCTTGCAAGCCTTATGGCCGGGAAACATTATCACTTGTTAAGCTCATTCGTCAACATTACCCTGTGCAATAAAGAAGGTGATCCCTTTAACAGTCGAGCATACAAAGGCATCAGTTTGTCTATGGCATGAATAAAAAAAAACAATGTGTACATTGGACACGTGTTTCTGGTCACATGCTGGTCAAAAGTACACGCAGTGGAGAGAGTTTGTACAAAGTCTTGACCTATTCAAATCAGACTACTAAGCACTTCAACCACACACTAATATATCACGATTTGAGTGCAACACATAAATGCACTGTGGGTGGGGAGGAGAGGGGCAAAAGGTACTGTCTCGGATGCTAAAAGTCGAGAGCTCTTTGGAATATGCCATATGAATGTCACCAGAACGTTTCTTTCCATTAAAAATAGAAATAGTATATAGTATATATGACATTTGTGTGTATACATATAGATAACTACACAAGTCAGCCCTTGCTTGCTCTCAACAAGTAAATCAGTATAAAACAGCAAGTGATCCTTCCTTGCCATAACTTTTAGGGGTCTTTTTAACAGCACAAGCTTCCCGTGGGAAGAGAAAATCGTAAAGGCTGGCGCTCAGTCAGCTCAAGGCGAGTTCAAGGTCGAGAAACCTAGCACTTCACGCAGCACCTTCTCCATCTTCGAAGAAACTAACGTCTCCATGTGGCATTGGGTGGCAACATCACATTCCCACTATTCTTGTGAACTGGGTCTGTCTGGAGCAGAATGGCAAATAAATACAAATCGAAAGTCTTAAACCTCGGCACCCTTCTTGTGGGACCTCACATGCTTGTCGTACTGATCTTTCCGGTAGAAGATGCGCTGACATTCGTCGCAGCTGTGTGTGCTCAGCCCCAAGTGCTGCCTACGATGGCGCTTCCAACTGCTGTAGTGGGTGAACAGGCGCTTGCAGTCGTCGCACTTGAGGACCACCAGGGAGCTACCCTGATCGCTTGGTGGGGAGCCCTTCGACTCATACTCGTACCAAGGCCTCTCCATCGCCGATGCCGGGCCTTCACTCTCCGAGTTGCTCGCAGGAGTGACGGCCCTGGCATCTTTGTCCCACTGGAGGTCGGTGTAGCTGCCAACAGACTTCTTTTCACCAAGCAAGGCCTTGAGGATGTTGCCGTTGCGGTCGCACGTTGAGAAGTCTTGTTTCCTGGTTGTGGTGAGCGCAGACCGAAGCTGAGAGTATGGCTCCGTGCTGCCATCGTGGGAGGGGTTCTCGGCTTTGATTGGGATCATTGTGATCTCGCCATTCTTGGGCAACAGGTCGATGATGTCTTTGGAGACGTGGCGATCATTGTCTCCGTTCCCTACCGCTTCCTGCCTGCACTGCGGTGGGAGAAAGCCCCGCTGGGCCTCTTCGATTAAGATCTCACTCCTGGTTTTCACTCTCTTTTCAGGAATTGACCTTGGGGGCTCTCCGTTAGACGGACTGGAACTGTGCTTTGCTTCTTGAGCTCGGGAAGATCCATTTCGGCACCAGCTTAGAAAGGCCTCACGCACGTTGTGGAAAGGCTCGGAGGTTCCAAGAGAAAGCTTCTGAGTGGCAGAGGGACCTTCGGGAATGACGAGGTTCCCAACTTTTGAGAGGTGAGACAGGACATGTTTCTCCATGACATCACGAGGACCACTAGCATCGCATGCATCACAGCAGAACCAGTCCACAAGCAGGTGATTCTCCCCTTGATGTGCCTGAGCCTCCAAAGGGTCGTCAAATGTGCGTAAGCACAAGTTACAAAGTGGCTTTACACGGCAGACATGCAGAGAATCTGTAAGGGGCTGGCAACACTTGAGGCAGCACCGTCCAATAGCTCCCGGTAAACCGGTCCGAGAGCCAGCGGTGTACACTCCAGCATCACCCGCAATGTTGATAACGCTGTGGACCTCACGAAAATGGAGCATCATTGACTTTAACTCTAAAAAAGTTTCCTTGCACCATCCGCACTTATATGCATCCTCCCTCTGAGCTCTACTCTGATTATCTGTACCTGTTTTGATTGAAGCATGGTTCTCAAGGTCGACGCTTCTCCGACCTGACTCATGCGGTGATATGTCAACATTTGGAAGCATGGCACTGTGGTCCTTTAATACATGCTCTACCAGAGCACTTCCATCCTCTAGTGTAAGGTCACAACAACAGCAGACATGATTCTGAGGCTGCACAACTTCTTCGTGGGCGGACGTGATGTGCTCACCCAGCTCACTTTGCTCTTTGAAGCACCGGCCGCAATAGCTGCAGATGTGTATGACCATGTGCTCTTGAAGGTGTTTTTTCGTAGGGAACTTTGCATAGCACAGGCTGCACGTCTCCAGGGACAGAAAAGTGTGGGGCACATTACGAAAAGTTGTACTGCCCTCCCTTTCATCCTGACTAGAAGAATCCTTGCCTTGCTGAAGACCCCTGGCGGTCGCATCTGTTTCGTCCTTGCACTGATGGTCGTAGTAAGACTGTTCATCCGGGAAGAACTGGAAGCATACCAGGCATGTGTACTTGTCTGCAGCAGAGTTGAGGGAGTCCCCATCCCCATTGAGGCCTACCAGGACAGTGTCGTCAGAGTTGCCATCACAATCTTGATTTCCAAAGTCAAATTTCTTTTCAGGCAATTCGTCGGCAGTCTTCTGAGCCGTCATGCCACAGACAGGCTGTGGTAACGTCATGTACTTGGAAGGCCTCCCGCGCTTAGAGCGCACAACCGTGTCCTTGTCATATTCTTCGGGAAGCTTAGAGTGAGAAGCCAGAAAATGGGAAGACAGATCGGAAGCAGACTCGGCAATGTGCCCACAAACGAAGCACTTGAACTGATCACCGGAAAAGTGCTTCTTCTTGTGGGTGGTCAATGACTCAGAGCGAAAGAAGCTCATGCAGCAGTTTTCACACGTGTAGGGGCGCACGCCTGTGTGCATCTTCTTATGTCGTAGGTAGCTGCTGCGGTTGATGAAGGTCTTTTTGCAAACCTCGCATAGGAAGACACCCCTCTTGGTGGGATCACACAGCCCCGATCCTGCGAAAGTCGGGCTGAAGATGGCTGTGGCAACAGGCTCAAGGACGGGACTCTTTGTTTCTTTTCTCACCTTCTGTGCGTCAGTGGAGAGCATTCCCTTGAGACTAAACTCTGACAACATTCCCTGAAACACCTCTTTGGCCACATCCTCGATTCTCAAACGCTTATTGTCTTCCAAGTCGGGCGTGGGGGCACTAGGTGCCCAGACACGCTTTCTTCCATGCTTGTCCTCCTTGTGCTTCATCAGCTGGGCTTTTGCACCAAACACGTCAGGGCACAGGTTACACATCCACTGGTGGCTCGCCCCATTCACACTCTTGCTGCCATCCCCTGCCTGGTCAGACTCGGGCATGGTCACATCTGTGTCTTCCTCAATTGGTTTCAAGGAAAGTGAGTCAAGCACGATTGTCTCTGCACCTTTGATCTGGTCTGCAGTCATTTCTGGGGCCGGATTTGTGGTGTACCGGTGCTTTGTACGAATGTGCTCCTTCAGGGTGTCGCTGTTCTTCAGCCACATCTCACAGACAGTACATTGGCACATGTTTTGCATCATGCTGTTGTGTATCTTTTCATAGTGCTTGATCCATAGGTAGCGCCTGAAAAACTGCTTCCCGCAGATGTCGCAGGTGTACCTATGGCCGCAGGAGTGCATTCGCAGATGGCGACGGTAGCTGCCATAATTGGTGAAAGTCTTAGGACAAAGCTTACATAAATGCAGGGTTTTACCGTCTGGTAATGAACTGGTGGAAGGTGAGTCCTCCCTGGCTGGGACGTTTTCATCGCAGTCTGCCACGTCATCCCCTAGATCTGGCTGCGGGCTGGCATCGCAATTCGCTTCGTCGTCTTTGGTTTTGTCCAAGGCTGGCTCGTCTTCAGAGTCCTTGGAGGCGTAGTCCTCAGAAAAGCACTCCAGACAGTGTTGCTGCAGCTCTGTCGGACTACTGAATGAAGTCCAACAGAGCCCACAGACGTGCTTTGGAGCATCCCCAGCATCACTGTTGTTGCTGCCAGTGTCCATGTTGCCATCCGGCATGACCTGCACCAACCATTCCGCATGATTAGAAAAGCTGAAAGGCATGGCATTCAAATACAAAAACAAGAGACTACAATATTTGACAGGGCTTGTAGAAGCCAGTACAATGTTGCAAGCCCCTCTTTGATGAAACACATTAAAAGTTGATACATACATTCCTGATTATAATACTCGCACAACTGTAAGCACATTGCAGTGTTTTAAGGAAACTGCACGCTGTCAGCTTTTAGTGCCTTACGAGACTACAAACTTCTGTGCAAAATAGGGCATCAGTTTTATCAGTACTTGTCATCACAGGTAGTCCTGCTAAGACCTCTATACTTCTTGAAGTGTCACATACTACTTCCGAGCACATTTTTGCGGTTACATTATGAATGGCTCAGAAGGTATCAGGTATATTTCCAGCCTTATTTACTACTCCCCAATTAAGAAAAAATGTAAAAGTCAAGCTGTTTTTCTGAACTTAAGCCAGGCACGTAGCAAGGGGGGGGAGGGGGCAAGAGGCTTGCCCCCCCCCCCCCCCAAATCTTCTATTTTGCTGGGACCTCCTCTCCCCCCTTCCCCTGATACAGCATATTGTCACTGCCCCCCCCTCCCTCTCCCTCCCCCTCCTCCCCCCCCCCGAAGCAAAATGCTGGCTATGCGTCTGACTTATACATAGCTCCAATAATAGAGGCAGGTTACTTCGAATCCAGAGCTATTAACCCCATGCACTGGCCTATACAGATCCAAGTAAATTCATCAGAAGCACAAGTGCATCTACAAACTGACAGTCAAGATATGTTGTTGACAATCCTACTACCTCATTCTATTGCCCCATGGTATTGTACAAAATCTACCGCAAGGCTGACCACAGCCTAACATTCCTTGCAAACAAATAGGATAATTGCAAGTAAAAGTGCAACAGATACACAGGATGTTACCGGAGCATTTTTTTTTTAATGCCATGGGCCACACGGAAACAAAGAATTCAGAACCATTGGGGGCAAAACAAGGCAAGCCAAGGGGCTCCTCAGCCGACGAGAAAAACCATGCACAGCTGACTGCACAATGCGAAGGAGCAGATGTATAAGGGAGTGCACTCCCGACATTTCCAATCAGAATTGAGGGCCACTGTCCAGCCCGAACAGCTTTGCAGGCACGAATGTGCATCATGCATTTAGGCTGGAGTCACGAATTCTCCGGTGCTGGGGATCACAACGCAGCTGGAGAGCATGCATGTATGACTTTGCACAGAGCAATTCTCTATAGCCTCAGCGCAGCAATGCCCGCCGTAGAGGCACCCGAGCAAAGTTCGAAGTACAGGACGAAAGAGCTGCATCAGCATATGCACGTGCCCTGCCTCATACTCTGCTTGCCAGCTTTCCTGCCAGCTTCCCCCCCCCCCCCCCCCCCCCTCTTTCTTGTTTTCCACACCTGCGTAGTTACCCGTACATCTGTGCCCTGCTTTCAGGACCCCTTCCTCCCCACCTTTTGTGCATGTGGCAGACAGCAAGTGATTGCAGCTGAAAATTTTGCACGCATGGAATGGAAAACCTGCATAACAAAGATGCGTTCAAGGGAAAAGAACGAAACTACACACATAGTTCTGTCCCATATACTGGGATGGTCGCCGTTCCACCTTTAAACCACTAGTATGGGGCATTGCTAACCGCACAAAGGTTTTAAAGGGGCCATGAAACGAATTTTGGGTTGGCATGAATGATTTTAAATTCGGACTTTACTAATCGCATATCGCTTCGTTGGCCAAAAGAAAGAGGCTAGAAAGTCAAAAGCCAGCTTTTCGGTACGAACATTTGAAAATACAGCGGACTATTTTGTACCTTCTTGCCTTCGAAAGCTATCCGCCTTTTCACTATGATACATCCGCGGTTCCAAAAGCGCGTCACCAATGCCAAACTGACGTCAGCAGAGCCCAGCTCACGCATTGGACATGAGAACTGCGTCACTCGAACGTATGTGCTCGTCAGCAATCAATCCGTCAACGAATATTCAGATTCGCGTTCGTGGTGGCCAATGAGTGCCCCGACGGAACTTATTGTCACTGGGGGATGACAAGTTCTATGGTGTGCATAAAAAGCACGGTGTAAGCTAGGAGTCATCGCACCGGTGCCGAAGGAATGTCACGACGTGATTTCACAATTCGCATTTGAGTTGAGGATTAAAGCTAAGGAAAAAGAAGAAGGAAAATCGTTTCATGACCCCTTTAAAAAAGGAACTGAATATGCTGAAGCTCACGGTGCACATGCATAAACAAGTTTACAAAGTGTTTCACGAGAAGAGGACAAATTCGATATTGCGAAAACTATGCATCGCACCAAAAATAGGTGTGCGTCGTTTCGGTCCTAAGCCAGGGGCCTATTTAGGAAAATTATAAAGTTCGAGATTACTAAATTTAATTATTTTTGCATAATTAATTTTTTAAATATTGAGTTTAAGGGCATGGTTTCAATTAGAATCTTGCTGAGCATCATCGAAAAACACTAAATCAACAAGCTGCAGAACGATAGAAGGCACGCGCGGTATTTTACAGCTTTCTGAAAAACCGCACAACTTCGACGGGTTTTTAAGTTTCGGTTTGCAATCGGAGCACTTCTCTGCATCGACCGCACCGCACCCCGTGGAGAAATTGTGCAACCAGCCTCTGCTGCGTTGCACAAGGACAGTGCAGCAGAGGTTGCTTACTAGAGATAGGCTATCTTTCGGTGCTTTTGAAAGAATGGCAAATCATGCCAAAAGGGTGGGCTATCTTTTGGGGATGGGACATCTCTCCGTATGTTATGGTTAGAGGCCGGATATTTAGGCACTAAAAAAGCCACTTTTAGGCGCCTATAAAAGGCACTAAAAACTTCGTAATAGGCATTTATAGACACAATCAGTTTTTATTCACAGGGTGCTTTCGAAATAATTTATGGCCTCTTTCATTCAAAGAAATACAGAATAAAGTGGTACAATAGGAATTACAATTTAATTTGTCCAACATTAAAAAAAAAAAAGTCGACTCAAGCCCATACCGATACCAAGCTGTCCCATACTGTACACAGTTCAACTAGAAACAATGGGAAAATTATGACAACAGTAGCAAACAAGCACCATTTCAAGATTCTTGGGTTCAAACTTCTGCCTCTTGTCACTTAGAACCAGTTTGTACGCTGAAAAAGAGTGTTCCACGTCAACTGATGTGAGTGGGGTGTACTTGTACTTAGGAATATTCAGTGCTTCCACACCCTCTGGTACAATGCAGTGTTCCCTGGTAAGAACCTTTGAGACTTCTTTGACTAGAGAAAACCCACTATTTTTGCTCAAGACGGACTAATGCTTTGAACGAACTTGTACAGAAGCAGGGCCTGCGTCGACGGCGTCGACTCGTTCTTGAACGTTCAAAATGAGCCTGCTGTTTTGAGCCAGGGTTTCGCTAGCACTTTCGAGGCTCTTGATTCTTTCCGCCAAAAACGTCAAATTGGAGCACAAATGCGCCATGTCACTTTCGAGAGTGTCCTCGAAGGTGTCATGGCGTATTTACTCCACAGCTTTAAGCCACGTTGCACTCCAGTAAAAGCCAGAGTGGAAAGGCTGCAAAGGTTGCTGCCATCTATGAGTGACGGCGGGGACAGACAACCAGCAAGCCGGTTGGAACCAGACAACCAGCAAGCCGGTTGTCTTGTTCCCGCTGTCGTTCATAGATGGCGGTAGCTGTCTGGAGCTTTGTGTCGATATTTGTTAATCCACGGGCCCGATACTGGGGAAACCAGCCCTTAACAGCTCCGTTGTAAAAAAAAACAACGGTGTTTGTGGTGGATCTTGGGACAGATTGGAGCAGCCTGTTGCCTTGCATCGCAGCAAGATGAAAAATAGTTCGCTTGAAACTGAAACTCAACAGAAGAAGTCATGTTGCGGTAGTGAAGCAAAAAAAGTCAAAAATAGGCATTTATAGGCGGGAAGCGGTCATTTAGTCTCAAACGCCGATATAGGCATTCGTAGGCACTATAAAACCACTCTTAAAACACTTCTTAACTCATGATTCGTGCTCATATATAGAAGAGACACGATAGGGACTAAAGGAACAAAATAGGCGTTTGCCTAAAGATCCGGCCTCTAGTTATGGTAGCTGTCCTACTGCTGACTTCCATAACATCAACAGGGTATCTGCTAAATTGGGTTTTTGAAATTCCCTGACCTTTCCAGGTTTTTCCTATTTCAAATAAATTTCCCTTACCATTACAAAAAAAAAAAAAAAATGCAGGGGATGGGTTTGCAATAGTTGCTCAGGCAGGTCCCATATAATCCAGTAAATCGGGTGGTGGTTGTATTTGCTGCATGACTATACCTCAGGCCAACTGTCACTCGGTGCAAAAGCTATCCACGTCACCGCCATGCCGCACTCTCCTACTTTGTTGCGTGTCACTGCGCCGTCGACATTGGTAGTTTTCCCTGACATAACCAAATCTCCGACGATTTCCCCGACTTTTCCAGATGCATTGAAATTTCCTTATAATTACAGATTTTCCAGGCTAGAAGACACCCTGGTCAATCTCTTACACCCACAGGAAGGGTATGACGTCAGCCACATAGCTTTGCCATGCCATCCTCCCGTGTTGCCCATCTCTTTCCTATCCTCCTCGCCGATTTCTCTTTCTAACATGAACCACACATGACCACTGAATGGCATATGGTTGCATCTACAAACTGAGGGGCACGAGGTTCCACCGTGGTTCTGTTCATGATCACGGCAGCTGACTGCACCTCCTGCCTTTTATTTGGTTGTGTAACAATAAATTCAAGAAATTATGTTTTCTAACACTCCGTTTTCATTGTGCAAGTGGATACAAGCATTCTAACGATAATCATTCAGCTTGAGAAATGTGCTTTGTATAGAAAGAAGATTTAGATATACTTGCGAATTTTGACAGCAATTATTTTTTCCGTGCCCGTGTAAAATATTTTGTGGAGCATTTACACAGTTGAGTTCACAATACAGTTGGGGGTGTTCTTGGTATGTCTCGCAACCAACATAGAACCATGCAGTTGAGTTTTACTAGGGTGTTTTATTAATAATGGATCGTGACCAATGCTACATCAACTAAATTCGAAATCAACCTGTGGATATTTTGCTGGGGCATGCCAGGTGATGTTTATTGGTTTGACTTATAAAACCCTAATATCTGAATATTTGCTCCACTTTACCTTAGTTCAGAGCGCAGCCAATGCTACGGGCTGATGAAGCACACTGAAGCAGTGCCAAGAGTGCAACCTAGGGCATACCTGGCCTGGCTATCGAATTAATTTAATTTGAAGCGAACGAAATTCCACTTCCATAAAGTCCACTCACTGTTGCAACAAAAGGCCAAAATCCATCGTTTGAGCAGCTCGATGGCTCTCAGAAAGCTAAGAGAACCGCTTCCAAGTTCACATTACTGCGAAGTTCAGGATGTAATTCAACAGGGACGTGCCAGTGAACGAAACTCGCCACGGAAGGTTTCTGCAGCCGTTCACACTGCAAATTCCCATCTTGGTCTCGGCAACGCCGCACACTTTCGTTTATTAACTGATCAGTGGTTCGGCTCGTCCTCTCGTCGTGATCCATCGTCCGCCCATCAGGGTTTTGCATGCCTCGCCGATCTTGCCTTCACGCTGCGCTTGATGAACCTACCAGACGGAGCGAGCACAGTACTCTGGCATGCACAGCTGACACATCGCACACCATGTCCGCTCCTCGAGTTCTGTTTGGTAAAACTTTCCGGATGCATGACGGACCGCGACGAGCTGATCGTGCAGTCTGTCATCTGCTCCTCAAGGTTGTAGGGGAGTCGGGGCTTCACCGCCTCAGCCTCGCCTTCTCTTCGCTCCCGTAAACCCTACTGGGAGGAAGGAAACTCAATGCTACGGCCCCATATTCTATACAACCAACCACCCAACTCGCAAGTGACATGGTCAAATGCACACCATGGGGTACAAGTATAGTTTGAACTTTTGATGGCTAGGCATAAAAAACTCATGTGATGCCCTCCCCGTGCTTACCTCAAACATCCAGAACTCTCACTCAAGATAATTGTGCAAAGTGAGGAGTCATTAATTGTCAATAAACGAATATTGATGTAACCGTCCACAAGAATAAGTACTGACATTTATGATAAGCATATCATGAGCTGGCACTCTTCAATTGGGACTGAAGAAAGGGTCATAAGCCAACTAGGCCGGTTAAAGCAAAAAAGGACAAAAAGGGAGAACACAAATGATATGTCGTCAATGTCCCATTTCTTTGTCGTCTATCTTGGGGTCTATGATGTCCAACACATTTAGGATGTCCACCTCAATTAGATTTAAAGAATCTTTCTTTTTTCAAGGTTTTTGCTGACTGACATAGATTAAAAACTAAAGCTCCCGAGATGTAAATTATAATGACAGTGACGTGTCACAGTGGAACGTGACATCCTGTGAGCTTATAAAGAATGTGATTTGTCTTTCTAGTTCCATTAGCAGTTGTATGCCCAGCCACTTATATGTGTCGGGGCATTTGGAAAAACGAATCACTGCAAGCATAGAGGGAAAAGTAACATTTACGTGTAAATTTATCTGACTCTTATAATTCTTTGCCCACATTCCCTCATACCTCAAGCTTTGTTGTGTTGCTAGGTGTGCTGTCGTTACACACCCCCACAAAATGCAATTTTGGCAAGCATCGGAGTCAATATTTAGTCAGCGGTCTTCAGGGAGATGGCCTCAGTAGATGATGCTAGTGGCAGTCCATAGTGCTGCTGCTTCCCCACCAACCATCAAAGCAAAAGTTAAATAACTAAGAACAGGGCAGTGATCAGAAGGCACAGTATACAGAGATCATATAACTGGCCCCTAGGCGACTCTTGGTGACACTATGGTACACTTAATGTTAATACCAAAGCGGTAAAGGCTGGTTCACACAGCACAGTTGTCTTACATGGCGTTACATTACAAAAGCTTTTGCCGGCTCACGTCGAGTCACCAAGACATATGCGCCTTCAATGAAGCGCAGCGTGACGACCAGTTCGAGGAGTAGACTGGTATGCGACATTCAAGGGAGTAATGTTCAGGGGACTTAAACATAACGTAAAAAAATGCTGGAGACACTCCTGTGTGAATGGGACTTAATTCTCCCACGGAGGGCATTCTTATTTTTCACTATTGATACCTCAGCCCCCGACAGGCTTCACCTAGATTTTACACAGTCTCTTGCCACTCAACATTTTATTCGTACAGCCGATTTGAGATTTCTGTGTGCAATAAAAGCACAAAAGCCAGAAATCCCCAAGTCTTGTGCAGCCAACAAACAGTTAAGTCCCTGGTCCACTAGCTGATGTCTGAGTCCCCTAATAAGAGCCAGCATTGGCTTTAACTATTCAACACGTTTAGTTAAAAACACTCATAGCCCATGATGTAGCAGCACCGAAAAATAACGCAAGAAAAAAGAATCTGGTCTTATGCTTATTCACTCTTCATTGGCAGTACAGTATGTTTTCACTCGGGCGTCATAAATATTTGGGGATACGCCACCCATAGGCCCGCCTGCTGCATTTCTCGTCGACACTACCGAAAACATATCAGTTCAATTCAAAAGCTTGTGAGATGAATATTCCTCGAGGCACAGACACCCAAAGCAACAGGCAGCGCATGAGTACGTTAGACTGTGCTCTCCCATCCAAAGTACAGGTCTAGGCAGCGTCCGATGAATGTCTCATATTACGAGTGAGCCTGGCGAGCGAGGCTCCAATTCCTCGTTAGTCACGACCGAAAAAAAAAAAAAAAAAAAATGGCACGTTCGTTCGTCATCTTTATATTCACCACGGCACGTATTTCAATCGGCACACGTCCGTACGCGACACAAAAACAATTCCATGTCTGAGACGTGCGTCTACCGGGTTATTCACGGGTGGACGGCCGAGAAAGAAAAAAGAAAAAACAGAAAAACGACGCCGATCTCTTACAACAAATCACCGCGAGGAGGAAAACAATCCGAGAGCGCCTAAACGTTGTGTAAGCGGGCGACACAGACGTCCTAATCAATCATCCAAGTTAATTAGGGGGGCTTAACACGCGACAGCGCACACCGAGGGGATCTCCGAGCGAGTTCGTCCGGCCAGCGTCGGGAGGAGAGTCCGTGAGGTAGGCGCACCACCACACCGTCCATTAGTCGCGGTCAGCTCGGCGTCTGATCAGCGCCGTGGTACGTCCGCCGAAACGGAAACCCGCGCCGAGCCGGAGGGCACGGTGGCGGGGGCGACGAGCGCCTCGAGAAAACCTAGGGTTGGGCCGACCCAAGTCGCCATCATAACGGAACCACGGGGCCTCTTGTGGCGAGCGCTGGTCACGGGGTCAGTCGCTACGACTGGCGCCGGAGCGGGGCCGAAGGTTGCGGCGGCACCTACCTTGGCTGGCGAGTCTGGTCGTCGTCGTCGTGGAAGCGGCACGACCAGCAGCGAAGCGCCCCGCTGCACCACTCGGACCGCACATATGAGACGGCGGGCACGACTCGTAGGCGCGTCGAAAAAATGCCTCGTCGCCCGCGGCTCCCCGGTAGACTCGCCCGCCAGCAACACCTGTGCCTCGCGCCACCCCCGTATTGTAGCACCACCCTGGTAGTGGCAGCGGCGGCGGCGACTACGGCTGCTGCCATCTAGCGGACGAGCCAGATGGCCGACCGGTTTAATGCGCCACGAGCCGCGGACCGGCGGGAGAGGGAGCGCACCACGGGAGGCGGCGAGGGGGAAGGCAGCTCGCAGGCTGCGGCGGACGCGACGCCGACGTTGCCGACGCCGCCGCGCCAAGGGGAGGCCACCACTTCGGAGGCTTCGCTGCCGCCTGCTGCTGCTGCTGCGGCAGGCCTGGAGCTGCAACTCCGTTGCACCTGGCGACGGACCGCGGAGGACCCCAGGAGCCACGGGAGCCAATCCCATGCCGCGCGAATGTCACTTGCCCTTCGGGAAAGGCGTAGCGACGCGCCGGCCTGGCCGGGCGCGTTGTCACGTGATACATTAGGAGCGCTGGATTGGCTGGGATGGCTCGTAGGGTCCGCTGCAGTCCATCGCTTATGTGAAACGGAGTACGGCGTCGCGCAGGGCGAGCTCGCTCTCGCTGGCCGACCGTCCGTCGGGGACGCTTGCGCAAGTGGCCTGCCTGCCGACGCAGCAGCAGGCCCGACCGACTGCCACGCGGGCATCGCCTCTCTTTTTCTTTTTGTGATATTTGTATGTTTCCCGTTCTGAGCGAGCGCAACGTGCCAGTATGCGCCTCCTCCGCTGTCACGCTGCTGGTGGGTAGGTGGTGGTGCGGCCTGGAGGCACGGTCGTCGGCGCTCGTGACCACTCGTCCCCGTTTGTGGCGGCATGTCGGAAGTGGAGCACGGGCCACGCGCTCGTCACAGTTCGGGATTCCCGGACGGTGTGCTGCAGTTTCAATGCGATGCGAAGAGGTGGCATCGGTGCTGTCCCAAACGTCGTTCCATCAAAAAGACTTTTCTTTTTGCTTATTTTTCAAAGAATCGAATGTTTTTTTGTTTTTTTTTAATCATTCCTAGTGCTATGTGGAAAGGGCTCATTTAGGGCACACACTTCAGCAGTAAAGTTTGGTGCACGTCCATGCCGTACAGTAAAATGCGAAAGAGTGTTGAGTTCGAGCTAACCGGGTAAATATATATATGTATATATACATTTCTTTTTTCTGTCATAATTTAAAGTTTGTTATTGAAACTACCAGTGCACTGCAAAATCCTCACTTGAGACATTAACTCAATTAGTTCTCTCTAATTTCTATCAATTTGACGTTCGCCGTCAAACTCCTTCGGAGTAAACGGCGGAAAAGCGCCGACGTGGTCTTCGCCTTGGCGTCATCGACGGGGAAAGGCATCACGATTCATGGTTCGACCTGGCAGGGGTTGGAACGCGATGAGTAGGTCCAAGGGAGCCTGCAGGTGCGTTAACCTCTCTCCATGTGAAACAGCAGCTGTTGATGTAAATCAGAGTTCGGATGAGAAATACCGCTGCATCCTTTACACGCTTCACCCTACCAACGAAGGAGCATCGTCTCGCTATCTCTTTTTTCTCTCTCTCGGTTTATTTGTTCTACACTTCGTAAAACTTCAGTCGCTCTCATTCGCTTACGCAATTCCCTTCGGTTATGCCCGTAACCTTTCGGCACCATTTTAACAATTCTCCGGGAAGTATCTAGCCACTTCGCAATTCTCGAAGCGCGTCTCGTCATACCTCATTCCAAAACCTCACTATGTTTCTGTACCAAACCTTTTCTTCTTCTTGTTCTTTTCTTTTTGAGGTGATGGTTAGAGTCGCCAAATAAGATCGGAGCCCCATTCTCCGGCACCTTCTTGTGAGCGCCACCATTCCGGCTATTTGCCGGAAAGGCGAACAGGCCATTCCGGACACACATCGACTTTTCGGCGCACTACGGCAATCCGATGTACGACGCGTGAAGGAGTAATAGCAGGAGAGGTTTATATTGATTTGGCAATGTGCGATTTCAGAACGCAAAGAAGGCAGGACGATAACAAAACAGGATACGTATCAACTCTGTGATGTTTCTCTCTCTGAACTTGCAATGATAAGAGTGAAAAAAATGAGCCACTTCCAGCACGCGCGGAGCATTATACGAGCTGGCACGAGTGCACACCCGTCAGCGATATGAAGGTGAACAGCCCTCTTCTTGTATTTGACGCTCCTGCAAGTTTTGGAACAAGCACTGTTCCAGAAGAGGGCTAGAACGAAAAGTTTAGACCCCCAAGCCACTTACCATTTGAGACGTTGAGTGTTAATATAGCTTTAGGGAGCCGTAAATCAGGCAAGAAACCAGGTAAGGTGTTCACCTTCATATTTCCGGCGGGTGTACATCCGAACGGCCCCACAATTCTCGGGCCGCGCGGTGGAGTGTGGGATATACGAGATGCCTCGTGGGATTCCCGGAAACGTACGTGTCACAAAGCTCGGAGGATTCCGTTTTTCTCTGCCGCGAACGGTTTTAGCATTTTTGGAAGACAGAAAGGCGTTCCTTGCGCTTTCGCATAAAACTTCGTCTTACTGGCGATCACGATGTTAAGCACCAAGACGGTGCTTAACATCGTGATTCCGCAAGGTGTCGCAAGCTAGCGCCAACTATAAAGGGTGCAGCCGTTATCATCCATCCATCTATCAATGGCTGAAAACGGTCGTTATTCTGAGCAATTCCAGTTCTGGGCTCTTGCTAGAGCCACTTCATAAGGTATGCGCGACAGATTACCATTACTTCGGTCATCTTGGTGCTTAAGATCATGGTTTAAGCTTTATTTGAAGCAACGGTAAACGGTTTCCTGTCCTCCAGAAATGCTGAAACGGTTCGCGACAGACTATAAAGCTGAGGAAGTCACATTTTCTAGGTGGCGGCGCCCTCAAGAAAAATTGGGGAAAATGAATGCCGTTACGCCGAAAGCAGCTTATTTCGCGGCTCCATAGATCGTGCCACTCCGCACGTCAGATCCCGCAGACGCGAGGACGAACGGTTTCCCAGTACACCACACGGCGCGGCCGGGAACAATGCGAGCTGTCCGTCAATAGCCAGGATGAATTACCGGCTTTCTAGAACAATGGCGCGCTCGGGCGAAACCTCGTGGCACGCGTCCCCCGCCGAAGAGAACCACGCGTGGCTTGCCGTGCTATATACGACGCACACCGCGAGAGGTATACAGCTCCCATGCACCAGGCTGTGCGTGAAATTCCCAGGCACCAGAAAAAGAATTGGGTTCAGGATAGAAAGTACGGAATACAGTTACGAGCCAAGTGGCTTTTACGTGATCCCCTTGCAACCTCCTCAAGAGGCTCCAGTGCTTCCCTTCTAATTCTTATAATCTGAAGTTTGACCGCATGCCAAGGCCACAACCCCGAGGAGCCAACCAGGCAGCGACAAAACTGCATCGTCACGGCGCTGCTCTTTGTGCGACTAAACCGAAATGGACCCGGACAAAATGGCCCGAAATGCAAACCGGGACAAAATCGTTTTCAGTGATTTGTTGTCACTTTGGACGCTGTTTGATAGTTTCTGTGAACGGCTACTCCAAAGCTTCATTCGACACACGCGGAATGTACGTGTGTATTTTAATCTTTTCGGGATATATTTTAGGAAACAACGAAAGGAGCCCAAAAGTTCATAAAATGTCTATTATATAGGCCACTCGGATCTATGGCTTCCTTCTATTCTCACAAGTCAGAGTACCCTATAAAGCTGGAGCCTGCAAGTCACTACACAAATACGTATGCGTACTCAACGAGCATGGTCGCGACGCACTCTCTGCGCTTGATTGGACTATCCGGTAACAACGTACAAAAAAAAAAAAAAAAAAACGGTCGACGCCAGATATTAGTAAGTTTTGTTTTAAGCACTATACCTGATCGGTCCTACCATCTCATAGCGTCAGCTGCACTCTGACTTTCGTGAAACCTAGTATAGGTGTGCCACGAAAATAGTCACATCTTGCAAATTCATTTTCTTAAATTTCGAATTAGCACAACGGTGCTGTCGGAAAACGCACGCATATGATGAATCAAAAGCGTTATCATGCACGTACCTTTATCTTTTTTTACGTGCTGAATAAGTATAGTGTTAAAAGTATACGTTTTGAGAGGATATATTTATCTCTTCTAATGACATGTAATCTGTTTTAAGTTGAATAGATTAGCTTAAAAATAGTCAACGTTTCATAACTTAAGTATTCAGTAGAACCTATTATTGTCTCTATTTTGAAAAGTTGCATCAAGTACTAACAATCGACTAAACCGCTTCCCCAGCACGTAGAGCAAGCGATCATAATTAAGCTTGGTTATCCTAGTCGACTTTCTAATACATTTCTATCTTTATCCCAAGAGCAAACAAACCGCACGTGCTGCAAAATTTTACCTGGAATCATTTGTCCGGGTTGGTGCTTGGGATAATTTTGTCCGGGGCCATTTTGTCCGGGATCATTTTGTCCGGATCCCGCATCCGCTGCAGGGTATGAATGCTTCGACGCACCGCTCGTGATGATCTTTGGGAGCCACAATCAAGCTACGCTTGGACAGCCATGCACCCTGAATTGCGACATGTCCTCTGCACGGGCAGGTGCACAGGCATGCAAGAACACACATTCATTGCCCCGCTGGGTGTGGTGACGTATACAATTTGGCACTACGGCTTTCTATGTGGGTGCTATTGGCCATCTAGGTGTGGTTTGTAACTGTACGCATGGGATGACCAAACATCTCGTTTCGGCCGAATTTCTGTCGTCTCGTCATTTTGTCTGAGCGAAGCCTCCTCGTGTCCCGTTTCCGTGAGAACGCACCGTTACAGACGTCATTTAGAAAAAAATTAACGTATCATCAAAGTGTTACCTCCCGTATGGTACACCTTGAAGCTTTTTTTGTAGCGGCAATTGCGAACACATTTGGATATTTTTGTTTGTTGCATAGACGTGGGTACAGGAAAATTTGTTTCGTATTACTGAATCACGCTTGCTTCGGCTGGTAACATTGCTTCTCCATTCCTTAAAAATGTGATAGTGTTCTCGACAAAGATCCCCAGAAAATGTTTTTTTTTTTACGCTTAATTGAATAATTGGAGAGCTTTACCTTCAGCTTGGCTTTCCTCCTCCAAATGTCCCTTTCTCTGCTCTGACGATCATGGTCACCCTAAAATGCGTATTTAAGGTGAACTTCAGCAGCTGAATTAATCGAGTCGGCGGGGTTCGGAGCTATACTTCATCGCTGGAGGCACGTGGATCGAGAGGCCACGCTGCGACTGCGAGTTCACATCTGCCAGCTGTGATACGGACACGTGTTGTGCTTGCGTGCTTTAGGC